GCTAATCATAACAATGTATTGCTAATTATCAATGGTCGTGAGTTAGATCCCCACTAGCTCCAACATGTTCTAATTAATTTATAATTTCGTCTGAAATATGTTGGACTTCCTCTGAAAATGTAGATGGATGCTGGGAATATCGAAATACAGTCTGGGAAATGAAACACACATTAATTAATAAATAAATTAATTAAAAACCGTGAAGTTTGTTCGCGTGCTGGATTTCCGAATATTCAATGCTAATATAGATCGACAGCACAACCTGTCTGGATAGTATATAGCTCCTCCCCTATCATAAAAGCTATTTATTTTGAAAAGCCATAAATACCGAGGCAACTCGCCCGACCTAGTCCTTAAACAAAGGACTAACTTGATCAATGAGGTAGGGCCTAAGTCATTATAACGCGAACCAACAAAGTCGCGTAACCTCAACTACACAAAGCGTACAATCTTTGGTCATTTTGCTATCAATTTTATAATCAACTGTACGAATGTTACCTTTCTAATGTGACGTAACACTGTTTTCTATAGCTGAGATCTACGTGAATTACGCGCAGGCATTTCGGTCTTTGTTGTGGATAAATTGATTTTACATAGATAATTTCATATTAATTACAAAATATCAAGAGGTGGCGGTTGTAATGTATTTCACAGTCTGCATGAAGTTCTAATAAATGCTTGCGAAGAAAATAACCACTTCCTGTGGTACACATTAAGAACATGTCCCTAGACGTTGGACTAGTATAAACAACCGACGTCCAATGTCAACAATTTCTGAAAACCTATGGTGAGCAACTTGCAGTACGAAATAGAATTTTAGTGTTTGGTGATTTCAATCTAAATTTGCTCATAAAAACGCTTGTTTTAAAATATAAAAATATTTTAAAGGAAAATGGCCTAGACCTAAACAAAATTAACAAAATTATGCTACGCGTCGATCTAGTACTGCTGATCTAATATCACGTGTATACGTCCCTCTGGGAAATTCTTTTCATATGGCGTATAATAGTTCCTTTTCTATCACAGCAAAATATCTGGAGCTCAACATCAAAACCGCAACACATTCAACGCATTTCTTACGAAGCGCTCGATTACGCTGCTTTGTATAAATCCTCAACATGTTACTGATATTATTCTCATTGGAAACATTCTCCTAAATTAATGTCAAACTGTAAGACAACAAAAACAAAAATGCTAAATCCTCCAAAAAAAGACTGGATATCCAAAGACCTGATAACTTGTATCAATCAAAGAAATTTCCTGTATTCTAAGGTTAAACATGAACCTAAAAACCAATCTGTAAGACAAGACTTTCTAGATTGTAGAAAATTAGTATACAATAAAATTAAAACAGCTAAGAGAGACTATTACATAACTGAGTTTAATAAATGTAAGAAAAATCCTTTAAAAATGTGGAAACTTATAAATAATTTAACTCTAAATAAAACTGAAAATGTCCCCGTCCCTAAAATTAAATACTCCATTGGTTCGCTACAGATCCATTACAAATATCGGAATACTTTAATATATTTTTCTCAAACGAGGTCATGATTTAGCAAAACAAATACCGTCAAAATACCACAAACCTAGCAAAAATATAGAACAAACTTGTCTAACTGCTAATAAACCTATACTTTCTGAACTGTTGCTACTAACAAAGAAGAGGTAATGGAAATTATTAATAAGCTTTCTTCAATACAAGTGCTGGAATAGCGGGGTAACTACTAAAGCTGTAAAATGTATTAAAGATTTAATATCAAACAATTTACAACGTTTCAAAACAGTTTTTGTAGTGGGAACTTCCCGGATTCCTTGAAAGTGGCAAAATAACCCAATTTATAAAGCAGGTGATAAAATGGAACCCGGCAATTACCGTCCGATTTCGGTTCTACCTATATTTTCTAAAATTTATGAAAAGGTTATTCACACTCGCCTCACAAAATTCTTAGATAAACAATTTGATATTTTATAAACAGGCTTCGTCCAAATCTACACACTTACTGCTCTGTTGACTTAGTTACTTCAAAAAACATACTAGATAGGAAAGAAATCACCCTTGGCATCTTTATTGATCTAAAAAAAGCGTTTGATACTGTTAGTCATTCAATACTACTCTCAAAGATTAAAAAATTGGTCAGGATCAGCTTGGAATCTTAAATCTTATTTGTCAAACAACCCAAATTACTAAAATTAAAAACTCACAAACAAACCTCAGACAGTTACCTACGGTGTACCCCAGGGCTCCATATTGGGCCCCCTGTTGTTTTTAATATATATAAACGACATTCATAAAATTGGTATAGGGAACCACACTAACGCCGATGACACGAGTTTATTTTACTCCGGTAAACCATAAAATCTATTGCTGCGATGGCCCAAAATGACCTAATCTTACATACTGGTTTCAATCGATTTACTCACTTTAAAAACAAAAACAAATTATATGATATTTGCAGCTAAAAAAAAATTATTGACACTTCACTCCTAACACAAAATAAAGAAAAAAAGTAACAAAAAGAAGTATTTAGGCTTAATTAGACATACACTTACCTGGAAAACCAATCAACTCTAAGAAATAAACTAACTGCGCCTCAGGCTTGTTCGGAATTTAAGTATCAATTTACCAAAACCAATCAAGTATGTAATATACAATTCTCGAAATCGCAACGATCTAATTGAAATCTGGGGAACACTGCTACAAATTTGAAACCAATCAAAACCCTTCAAAATAAAATCATTAAAAAAGTTTTCCGACTAAATTTTTGGAAGCCAACAATATACAAAAAACTGTTCTTAATCTCACACAATATAATAACTGTTTATTAATAAGAAAGTTGCTAAATAAAAAGTGCAACGAGATAAAAAGTGATAAATTTACATCAAAAATGTATAACTACGGCAATCTACCTAAAAAGACCACGAACTAATTATGGCTTAAAAAATATAATGTATGAGGGAGCTCAAATTTATAACCATCTTCCAATGAATATTAAAGTTGCAAATTCATTTAGCATATTTAAAAATAAATTAAAAGCACACATTATAAAGGATTTTTCTAAACTATAGTAGTAATCATATTATAATAATAAACATAAGTAAACATTTTTTGTTGTTAAATTAGATATATTTAATATTTTGTTTATGTGTAAAACTATAGCAATGTAGCGCTACGCTATGCGATGTGCAAAACCTTTACAAGATACATTAGAGAAAAGAAGCGAATGAGCCGTCCTATTAATAGAACTTGCGTAAAGTTTTGATATCCAACCCGCTTTTGTTATTTTTATTTTTGATATGATTTGACTTGTAATAAATTAGAATTAAGAATAGTTCATAATTTCTCTGTAAGTGATTTTGTAAATCTTAAGAGAAATAAACGTCTTAAACCACATAATGATCATTAAGATCTACACTCAGGAAGCAAACTGCCTGCTATAGTGGAAACCATTGGAGAAGGCCCATGTCTACCTGTGGACACATGAAAAGAAAAAATAACACCAAAATTTTGAGACATTAGGCATTCAACTTCATGGGCCCTGGGTTTATAAGCCAGGAAGACAATAACACTGTCAATATAGATAATGTTAGACACTACATTAAGGTTTAAATTAAAAATCGATTATGAATTGAAAAGAAAATACGACTGGGGCAGGACTTTAGGACTCTATGTTTGTAGTACTATCATGTGAAAAATAATAATGTTTTTAAATTTTCAAATTCAACATATGTAAAAACCGTTTTATATATGTATCTCCTAGAAGCGATAGGCTAACTGAGCCCGAGTTAGATCGGTTAGAAGTACCTAGGTTATATATTACCCCTGTGCCTCAAAGACCTCGATTAGCAATCAGTACGGGTTATCGCCACCAGCGTTGGTAGTCAGACATGCACCCAGTAAGATATAAGGTTGAAAAGACTAGCTACAGAGTCATACTTACTTGTGCTGGTACATACATATATGTTACATAAAAACTCCAAAACTATCCGATTTCAAAGAATAAGTTATAGATAACTAAAATATTAAAGGAAGATATAATTGTTGTGCATTGTTTTTTTTTATAAATGTACAAGAATTCATTGTGTATTGAAAGGTTCCAAGATGCCCTTCAACATAGAATGAGTTGAAACCTTTTAACAAAATAAAATGAAACAAGAGTTAGTCTTTAAAGTCTTTATTTACCTCCTTTCAAATAATATTACAGTTTAAGTCTTACTTTGAATACATTTTTATCAGTCTATTATTCCTACAAGTCTTAGAGCAATGCCTTTTGGGCCGGATACATGGTTTGTCTGGATAATCGAAGTATTAAAATGGTGGTAGGAATATCACCTCCCAATTAACCACCGTCCACAAGCAAAAAGGTGGTAGTTAATTCGCGTTCTTAGTAGTTCCTTCTTTATGAAATGTTATGTTGCAAACGTTGCGTTTTCAAATGCTTAGAGCATAAGAATTATAATTTATAATAAAACTAGCTGTCCCAACGACTTTCTTCCACGCGGAATAGTTATTTGTGTCATAATATTATTTAGTTTTGCAAACGACCTCTTCAATTTTATAAATCATAGCCGTTACCCACCACGTCGTCCAAGTCCAGTCGTTCTTGCGTGTTCATCGTAAAAGATAGACAATCACTGTCGCGGACTTTCTTTAGACTATATAAAGAATAAGAATTCTCTCATATATATTTGGTGAGAATCTTGAACAGTTTTCGCAACGCAGCTCTGCAGATGCATAATTCTCTTCTTTTTCGCTCCTATTAGTCAAAGCCTGACGTTTCACCACAAAAATAAGTTTATAACTGGAACCAGTAGTTCTTTAGATTAATATGTTCTAACAAACAAACAAACTTTTCAACTTTTCAACTTTATAATATTAGTATAGATAAGTACAAACTTGGAAGGTTATTTTCTTAAAATGCAACATTACAGGATAAACTTGTCAATATCCGAATGTAAACATTATAAAAAAAAATCTTTTGCACATTCTGAGTGACACCTTTTCATTTTAAATCTGACAAGCTTTCCTTCAAATCTCTACTATCTTTAATATGTTTTCCATTTATACTATAGCTGGCTTTATAATTCTCTGCAATTTCATTATGCTTTGAAACATTGTGGTCTAGTAGCTCCCTCTTTAGATGAAAACTTTCCGGACACCGAGAACACCTTGAAAAAATAAATGTGCTATAGTTTTGAAATAAAACATAGTATGTATGCGGTTAAAAGTAATCTAAATGGGATATATACAATTTAGGAAAATTGTAGTTTACAATTTTGTACATACTTGTGCATCTTCTCTCCATAATGGGCGCAAATATGTTTGACGAGGTCGCTCTTATATGAATACTTCTTAGTACACATGTCACAGTTAAATGGTTTCTCGCCTGTATGTTTCCGATTGTGAATCTTCAAAGCCATGTTACTCTCAAATCTATAAAAAAGCTATATTTATAAACCAAAAGAAGTCTTAAACGTAATAAGATGCCCTCTATCTTTTGTAGAGGAAATTGGTTGTGTGTATGATCTTCTGTACAAAACAAATTATAACATATATCTTGATTTCAATCCAGGGTAATCAAATTAAAGGCAATGTCATCTGAGCTATAAAAGTAGTGGATAAGGCTTTTAAATAAAAACACTTTTAACGGTTTAAAACGCGAAATATATAAAACATTGTATCGTAAATATATAGTCAGACCATAGTTAAAATATTTTGTTAAAAGTGTTTTAATTTATTGCATACAACTCGTGTAAACTACAGGTTCCAGTCTGATAACTTTTGCAATAAAAAAACACTTACGCCTTAAAGCAGGTAACACACTGAAATGGTTTAATACCAAGATGTCTCTTTTTATGTTTCCTCAAAGAACTTGGATGCTTGAATAGAGCTCCGCACTGATCGCAGGGACAGGCTGCCATTCCTGTGTGAGTTTTTACATGAGTCTTCAACTCTCCTGAATAAAAAAAAACAACTTTATTTGTTTAAATACCAAACATACTTCTTTTACACTCAGGGATTCTTTTTTACACTATACCTTTAGTTAGTTATTGCCTAAGTAGCAAGTGCCGATCACCAGGATGCAGATTGGATTCCCAATCAGTGAAATATTATGTGGAATATGGAATGGTTTTAAAAAAACTTGGTACCAACATTGGACACCAATAGGTTGAAAAACATACCTCTAGTAACAAATTCTTTAGGACACAAGCTGCAAACAAAGGCCCTTATACCAGCGTGCCTTTTCATATGTTGATTCAAATTTGTATTACAATCAAACATCTTTCCACAAAACGGACATAGGTACTGTTTAATATTTAAATGTTTGTTCATATGAGACTTTAATGTTGACAAGTGCGAGAATGCCTTCTTACATATTGCACAGACATGATTTTTAATATCATTATGCATATTCATATGTTCCGTGTACAGAATTTCTATTGGAAATGATTTTGTGCACAATGTGCACTTGTACGGTTGATTTTCTGTATGTGTTCGCTCATGGCGTTGCAAATGACTGAGCTTTTTAAATATTTTTCCACAGTTCAGACATGACAGCACCCGTCCCGCTATTGTGTGCTTTCGTTTGTGGGCAGATAAGGAATTTTGTGATTTGTAGTTGGTATTACAGATAGTGCATGAAAATTGTTGCCCATCTGTTACTTTATTATTCTTAATATCTAAATGCTGCACTTTATTTGTTGTTGTACTGTCATCTAAACCTTTATGCTGTTTTATATGTTGCTCAAATCTTGACTGATTCTTAAATTTCTTATCACAAAGTTTACATTTAAGGCATGATGTATAAATATTCTTTAATTTCATCTTTAACTTTGTTTCCCCAGTATCATTTAGTTTATCTTTATAGTATTCCTGAGTAACTAGAAGCATGCTTCTTAATTTCTTATCTACATCTTCGGCCTGCTTTTTGAAGATGCAAAATGTAGTCAGAGCTGTGTAACATACTTCACATATTTTATTTGGTAAGAGATCTCCTTTCTGGATCTAAAACATTGGTATCAAATGTGTCTTTCTTGTTGTTACTTTGCAAGACTTAAAATGATACTCTATTCTCGCAACTTCTTTAATACTTACGTTTATTAGTGTACAAGATTGTAGTATTTCCAAGTTTGAAAAATTATTATTTTCAAATAAGTCGAACATTTTACCATCTGTCTTTAAACAAGTGCGGCAGCAATTTTCATCCATATTTTACCATAAAAATATATGCAGGAATTAAGCATTAATAACCATACATTAGTTGTTGATCCTGGAAATCAACCAAAATAAGTTCAGTTTAGGAAATGTTTACAAACATTTTGACAGCAGACATTTAATTCATTTCGAGGCTACTTTTATTTAACTAAAAGTGGTAATCTGTAGCTTCAAATATTAATAATATTATAAATTATTTGAGTTAAGATTGTGATGAAAACTTGGAAAATGTATTGTGTTGTGTTCTTACTTTCTCAGTCATAAAATATTTGGTTTGGTGATCTATTCCTAGTTTACCACTTTGGCCAGTCACAAAAGAAGTGTGCGATACAGTACCATTATCGATTGATAAAGTGAACAACTAAACGTAATATCTATTGATTCCTTCTACCATTTCCTTTATTTATTGATGCCTTAACTATTTGCACTTTTTTGAAAACTTTAATCTTTATCGTAATCTAACAGCTTCCGTCCAGTCGGTTTTATGACCAGTAGCCTAGTCAATTGACTATATGTCACGTTAAGCCAAAAAAAATGACGTACCGTCTTTCTAAAATAGTGACATTTCTTCTTGACAACATTTTATAAAGTTTAAAAACGTTCAATTTTTAAAAAAATGTTTAGACAAATACGTAAAACACTAAGATTATAAGAGAAGGTATAAAATTGATTTTAGTTATATTCGCTACATTTCAAAATATTTAAACTACGGTGAGTTGATACATTCTATCTGTCTATTTTAAGAATATAGTTTGTAAGTAAAATTTTAAATTATCTCGGAGTATTTGACTATTTGTAAATGCCCTTTAGGTACCGCCTAGAAGAAATATGCGCAATATCGCGATACTTTTTTCTGAAACTTTATGTTTTCGTCTTACAATATTTTTAATGGTGCTGAAATTAATCACAGCAATTAATTACGTAAGTCTAAACATTGTATATTTTAACAGCGGTCAAAAAAAGATTGGTGTCTCTTCCTTCTTGATATAATACGCATATTATGTGAACTCAAAGTAATTCTTGTATATATTTATTCCATTGTATATATTACCATTTTTTAAACTTATCTTTTACCCTAAATCAAAGAAACTTAATTGTGAACCCAAGAGTAACTAAAAAATATGATTTATCATTTCAATTTATTTATGTGGTAACCTATTCCTTATTATTACAAAAGTATATATTTAAATTGCACTTCAAGCTATGTGTGCCAGTACTAATACTAATATGATTAACTAAAAGTTACAAAAAATAAGTATACAGCCTGTAATAACCTTTGAGCCCCTCCTATGAACACTGTCAATATTGTTCTAAACCTTTTATGAAAATTATGTTTGTGGAAGGAAGAGTGCAAAGAAACTGTTATGCTCAACATGCATATCCTATATAGCTAGGAGCTAATTTAGAAGTTACTTCAGTTATTATTGGCAAAAAAAAAAATAGCATAATTTATCTTTTGTGAGAATATATTGTATTAGTCTGTGTGGTAAAGCTGATGGAATTTAAGAGGTAGAAGAGAGAATATGTGTAAAGTAAAGAAAATAGTGTTATTAACTTAGTCTAAAATTTGATCTCTTTCTATCAGCCCATGAATTAAAGACAATATAACTAATATCTTTTTCATACTCATTACCAGTTTTATATCAATTAAACTGGGCATAATTGACCACCAAGTCATTCTAAAATAACACATACCTCTTACTCTCTTTATTACTACTTATAATTAAAGAATTACACTAAAAAATAACTTATGTACAAATTACATTAGGACATCATTTCAAAGGCAGACAATTCTACTAAAGTATTGATGACCATTCTGCGAAGAGGTCACATTTGTGTCTTAACTTGAGGACAGATACTCTTCAGCCTCGACCTTCATTATCTTACAAATGAGATTTCCAATTAGGCAGTCTCGCGGTACGCACGGCATTATGAAATCAGTACTGACTGAACCTTCTAAGCGGTTGATAAGCTAAGGTCGCAATGACCTGCTTTGGGAAAACAAACACAAACCGTCAGTTTTACGTCGTTGCTTGTCGTGGGCGGTCGTGTGTTTTTTACTATTTGACCTTTCTTGATACAAGTGTTATCACGTGAGTAGAAGTATTTATTTCATTAATTTGCGTGTATGCTATAAATATACCTATATGAATTGGTAATTAGTTTCAATTAGAAGAACGTTTATATTTCATAGTTTTAGTATGGTGGGAAAAGCAATAATTTTTTATATGTTTAATGACCTTTGCGTGCGTTCTAATTGAGTATAAACTTTTACGTGATAACCTTTTAGTAAAGATACTAATTACTTTTTTATTTATAAATGAGAAAATAATTAGATATCCTCACAGTACCTATACTGTTCAATGGGAATACAACGACACAACGGGCAACTTGAGTTTAATTCTTTACCTCACCTTCTTTACCTATATAACAAGAACATTCAATGACCTCTATCAACTCATGAAATGGAACAATTTTGAATGAAATTTTGTTAAGTTTTATCCTATTTCGTTTTATAACTAAACTTGCATTATGTTAGACATATATAATAGTGTTGCTATTAATTACATAATCCAAACGACATCCTATGTGTGACACACTGGAATTAAGTACGTGTAAAGTACACTAAGTAAAGTGTAATAATAAACAGCGTATATATGGCAATTATAAAATTGGTATTATATTATTATGATATTGGTTATTCAAAGAACTATATTCGTTTGTACATATTTTTTTAGTATCTTGTAATAATAGCGGCGCACGCGACGGAAACCCTCGGAGACGAATAATTTTCCCTTATTTTCCACATTTCCTTGATTCCCTAAGCTATCGGTTGCAGCCTGTCTTGTTTATCTTGTTACTTTCAACGCTTTCACACTGTGTTATAATTCTGACCAACATACTGTATACTATTCGCATTTGTTACCAGCTCTTTTAGTAATATTCGACGTATATTGCAGTGTAGAGTAACAATGATATTTACTAACATCACGCTTTACAAACAAAAAACCTTTATCACAATTGGTTGACCTATTAGCTAGTGTTATTATCAAAATTTGTCAATCAGTTGCGTCTTCGTCATTTAGCTATCGTTAACACGTCAACAACATAGGTACCGGTTCCATTCCATTACATGTCGTATTTACATCATTAAACTGAAAATATACTTGCTCAGCATTTTTAATACAAATTAGATTAGTTCCGATTTTTTAAGCTTCGCGTTTAAGCGTTAGGTCTCATTTGATTCTATTGGTTAGATGATTTACCGAGAAAAGCTCTAGGGTATAAAACATTAGGCTGTGACCAATAGAATCCAAGAAACAGAGGAATGTGGAAAAACGGGGAATATATATTATCAATTTTTTACAGTTTTCGTTATTTGCTACAAAAACGATTCAGTAAACAAAAAACAAAAATCTGTATGATAGAATGATTATTATTTTTTAAATGATATATAAAAATATGTGTCTATTTCAAGGTTAACTCGCAAGACGACGTGCAAAACTATTTCACGCGGTCTAAGTCGCGGACACAGCTAGTATATAAACAATTTAGAGGGGCAAAGCACAGAAGTCCGATCTGCAATTATCCCCTGCCTTAAGTTGTTGCCCCAAGGGGTAAGCCCCTTTTCCTCCATAGAAAAAATGGAATTTTACTTCTTATCAACTCATGAAAACGTGCCACCTCAAACCGTAAATTACTTTAAAATCAGTCCACATAGCATAACTGTGATATCCATATTTCCGTAACTCTGTATTTTCTCTTTTGAGCATAGTTGTACATTGATTAGATCTTATCAAATGCTATTCAGAGCTGAACTATGTGCATTTACGACTTCAGTTACACTGTAACTTATAGTCGTATTGATGAGTTAGATACGTGCATAATCACTAGTCAAAGTAGAATTGTCTATAGTTTACGCGAGTAGTACACATTTAAATAAAACACTAACTAATATATCGCGTTTTAAACCGTTAAAGTGTTTTATTTAAAAGTAGAATTACCAGGGTATCGTACTTACAAGTTATAGCGCTTACACACTAAGGTACGGTTACGCTGTGTCAGCGACTTCGTCCGCGGCTTTAAAATTTGTATTTGCAAACCTTCATTATAGTTGTTACCCACGACGTCCGTCGCGTCCCGTTGTTCTTGCAAGTGAATCTTAAAAGAAAGACATAGAGTGTCGTGATTCTTAGGTGACTCAAACAGGAATCATTATTTTATATGTACATATTTTTTTGGTGTCTTGAACCGTTTTCGCAGCGTATATCGGAAACCCACAAAGATGACACGAAACATTTCCCCCTTTGCCTCCACATGTTTTATAGCCTTCCTCGAGAAATTTTCTAACCAACACGAAATAATTCAATGAAATTGGTTGCAATTGTGCCAAGTCGTATTCTTTGTAAAATAATCCCGTTCAATAATCAAATCGTTTGTTCAACAACTTGTTAGCATTGTCAACAACCGCGACATTGATAAAATGCCATTTCCGTGGAAATTGTTAGTTTCTAAACTATGCTACTTATCTGTTGGTATATGTATAGTATTGCCCTGTTTGGTAGTTAGTAGTAGTATTTTTTTTACTAAAGAAAATACATGTTCTAATATCTGTTTAAGAATTATTAACAATTTTCAGACACTGTGCTCTTGTAGATTTACATTTTTACATTATGAAAATATTAATAACTCAAGTTATACAGTTGCAGTTAGGCTTTTTTGCCTCTTGCGGCTTTAACGGCCTATATCAAATAAATAAGTGTACTACCTATATTCTTTGATTTTAAGCAAGCTTCTTCCCCCCTTCCCCCACTGAATAACACCTTTGGTATCCGTTACGCCTCTGCTATCAGGAGTATACGCATTACTTGTGAGTACTATTATCTTTAAATAAAACACTTAACGGTTTAAAACGCGATATATTAGTTAAACTTATTTGAAAATATTTTTAACTTCCCAGTTTCGATCTTTGCAGCAGCCGTGGTCACGGGAGA